ATATATATATATATATATATATATATATATATATATATATATATATATATATATATATATAAAAGTAAAGGTAAAATGGTCTTTTTAAATGGAGTAATGATGTGTTGTGGAATTTCTTAAATCACAAGGATGTATTTTGTCAAATTTTTAAAGGTTGGACTGAAAGTATGAATCTGACCAAACCACAGGGACCAAACTATAATTTACTTTTTGAATAGTCTAAAAACTTAATGGGTAATCCATGCTAAAACTAATCTTTTTTTGGAATATAAGTGGTAAGTTGGTAACCCATGACAAATATGTGTCTATTTGGTTGATTTGAAAATTCATGGTAAACATTTTTGTATTGGATTACTGACAAATTTTCGTAACTTGATTTGAAAAAAAAAATTCGGTAAACATGTGGGAAAAGTTTACCCACGAATTTGGGCATATGGGAAGTATGTCGCTGAATTATCCACAAATCGATTTGCTGTCACTAGTAATTCCTTTTGTTGTAGTGTTCAAATGGTCGCACCTGTGTAATTCAGGTTACATACCTTCCGTCCTTAATCCCTTAGGTTGGTATGGCACAACCTTCGATTCTCATCACTCTGTGTTTTGATGTTGTCATGTGCTCGACGATATAGGCTATTTTAAGATTTCGAAACAATAAGGTGTTCAATCGCTAAATCAAATCAGCATGCCTTAATGAAATACAAGTAATGTTATTTCTTTTTATCAGTAGCCTATGTAAAAGAAAGGAGATTTATTAGTCTTTTTGGAGTCGTAATATGGTATTGGCTAGTACACTCTAATCCATACATCTAGTATCCATTGGTGGATCGTAGTATAATTGTCGTTCATAAAAAAACACATTGTTTATATAGCTACTTAATAGGCCAATTCCTCCACCCATTTTTTCCATGTATTTGGCGACTCTTTGGATTTCGTGTCAGAAACCAAATATTCTAAGGGTTCATGTTATTTTTTATAGTAAATGTCAATAATCCCTAAATATTAATGTTTTTGTAAGAGCTTATTCGGCAAATGACCAAAATATAGGGTGATTTTGAAGAAAATGACCACAAAAATGAAGATTTCAGAAAATGACCACAGGTTCCGCAGAGGGGGTTCTGCGGAACCATAAACACCTCTGCGGATCTTGGTTCTTTTCTTTTTTTTTTTTTTTTTTTTTTTGCGTTCATTTTCGTTTATTAATATAATTTTTTTAAAATACACTAATACCTTATGTGATTATTATGTAAAAAATTCTACAAAAAAAGGTTAAAAATAATGAAATGTTTTATGTAATACGTTTGCCTCTGAGGAACCGAAACACCTCGGCGGATCTTGAGTTTTTTAATTTTTAATTTTTCGTTTTTTAATTTTTTCTCTTTTTTGTTTTTGTTTATTAATATTAGTTTTTTTTAAATACACTAATACCTTATGTTTTATGTAAAAAATTTGACAAAAAAAAGGTTAAAAATAATGAACTTATGTTTAATATCAGTCCACAGAACTGTTTGGAAATCCACAAAACTGTTATCTGCGGATCAGTGTACACCTCTGCGGATCAGTGTACATTTCTGCGGATCAGTATACACCTCTGCGGATCTGTGTACACCTCAAAGTTTTCGTGGTTCGATTTGAATGAATAAAGTTTGTTTCATAGTATGTTTATTATGAAGGTTGTATATTTATGTTTTCTAAAGTATGTTTTGTAACCTATAAAAAACATGGAATATTTGTATAATTTTAATTAGGTTATTTATATGCACCGGTTTGTATTAGGTTATTTATATGTATTTGGTTTGTATTAAGTTATTTACGAAATCAGCTGAGTTTACTTCTACTTTATTCCATAGAACATAAAATACAAAACAGTAAAAATACATTAAAAACATACATCAGTAACAAACATATTACATAAAACATTTCATTATTTTTAACTTTTTTTTGTCAAATTTTTTACATAATAATCACATAAGGTAATAGTGTATTAAAAAAATTAATATTAATAAACGAAAATGAACGCAAAAAAAAAAAAATTAAAAAAATCAAAAAACAAAGATTTCGCAGAGCTGTAGAGGATCCACAGAGACTTTAATGAAGTTTATTTCAAAGTATGTTTATTATGAAGGTTGTATGTTTATGTTTTCTAAAGTATGTTTTGTAACCTACTTAAAGTATGTTTATTATTCAAAATACCGGTGTGTGTAATTTTATAAAAAAACATAAAATATTTGTATAATTTTTATTAAACACACAACTTTTATAAACGGGTAATTAAATAAGAAAAAGGAAAAACGAAAACAATTTTTTTTACATAATAATCGCATAATACCTTATGTGATTAAAAAAATATAATATTAATAAACGAAAAAAAAGAAAAAACGAAAAAAAAATGAAAAAACCAAAATCCGCAGAGGTGTTCACATTCCGCAGAGGTGTTTATGATTCCGCAGAACCCCCTCTGCGAAACATGTGG